GCTGAGCTTCTGGGTCAATGTAGTCCAGCATCAAACCCAGACGCTCACCATACAGCACTGAGCTCACCGCTATATTGGACAAAACAAACATGAGATAGAAACAAGTGATGTGTGATTGAGTTTAAAAAAGGCAGGAATAATTAGAATTGAATATTTTAAATAAATGTTAGTCTTACATTCTAATGCATATTTAAAGAGTTCTTGAGAGAGGTCAGTGGTCCACTTGTTCTGGCCAGTTCGCTTGATCTTCTTGTGAACTCTGGCCACAAAATCCTGGCCCACTTCATCCAGCAAAGGCACAAAGTTTTCCAGCATCTTCAAGGAAATCACCTCCTTGTTGAGAATCACACGGTTTGATCTCCAGTCTTCTCCATTCCTGTGTGACAATCAGATTTGTAATTATTTTAAAGTATTTAGCTAACACTGGTAATGCTTACTGAAGAGACTGGTTTTGTCAAAGTGTCTGAATAGTGGAAGAGTTGGAAGAGGACAGTAACAGGACGTACTTAAGAAGAACTCCATATTTGCGATTTCTGTAATCTCTGTATGATGTCCATGGTTCAACCTTCAGCCTTTTAGGATAATGGCCCTCTGCTTTGAAGAGGATGGCAGCATCCTCGGGGTTGATGATATTTACACTTTCATAAGAACCTATTTTTTCTCTGCCATACAGAAAACAAGAAAAGAAATTGTGAGATGAACATTTGACCTTGGAAATTGTAGGTTACAGGTTTGTTTTTTTGTTTTCTTAAAACCCATCACGTTTTGGTCAGCCATGTGCAGTAATTTTTTCATTTTATGTAGAACGAATCAAACAGCCTGGACTCCTTTACCTGTAAATAGGTCCAAAAGTGTTGAAGTTCTGCAACGTGAGGCGGTGAAGATTTCTGAAGCCATCCAACTTCCAGAAATTGTACAAGTTAGCCCAGCCATTCTTCCACAGTCCAGGAACTTCATTGAAAGGCCTGACGACGCTGCTGCTTTCCGAGCATGCCTGTCTGATCACCGGCATGCTGCTGCTGCAGCGCACACCTGTTGCTGTAAGCTCCTCTGCCCAGCACAGCGGCAGCGTCACAGGGCTACGCCAAACACTCCACTTGGCCATCTGAACAACAAAAAATGCTCACTCTGCTCCACCTTCAGCAACTACTCTGGCTCTGCCAAGGACACCTGGTGCAAAAAGGGAGGCGAGAGGCTGGTCTATAGAGTCGGCCCCCCTTTCTGCCCTGATCAAGGCTTTCTAGTTGAACCTCACAGAATAGACCAAAGAACTGATTATGACAGCTCTGCCGCATTACTGAAGCTTTTATCTAGTTTCACAGCTCTTTTTATAATCATGTTTCAAACAGTGTTGCATAAAATAACCTTCAGAAAGCACGTTATCTTTGTAAACAAGCATTTACTTGGAATTTGTGAGAAATTATAAGAATATTACAGAAATTCAGTCACAGCATACATGAAAAACACAGTTTATAGTTAAAATTAAAGATTTAATAAATTAATTAAAATGTACTATAGTTGATGTTTCTTAAGTAGCTTTATGAGTTCTTCCAGCTTCATGGCTGTTTTAATGTCTCCCTGGACTTTAAGTCTGCCACTTGTAAAAGCAGCTATTGGTCGCAGTTCACCCTGAAACATGTCCAGAAGGTCACAGTCACTCATATTCAGGGTTACATCTGGTTCTCGACACAAGGACCCTTCCCCAGCTGCACCGCTACCTAAAGTACAAAGAGAAATAGACAGATTTCATTTTTTTTATGTTTTCGTACACACATTTAGCGCCAAGTAAAAATTCCATAATCATGACATTTATCACCTTGGCTCAGATCCACATAGTAACGGCGCTGTTGTCCATCTCCTGAGCTGATGTCAAACTGATAACAGGCCCCAACCTGGCGGACCAAAGACTCAGAGAGGAGCAGCTTGACTTTGCTGAGCAGCTCTTCAACACAACCTGGTGTGGCAGTGACAGACTCGGCAGCACTGCTGAGCTCATCCGTAAATGCTATGCTGTCCTCTGAAGAAAGAGGTGAAGATTACAGCACTAATTATGGAAAAGATGCAAGAAGATTTTTTAAGTGTTCTGTCTTACCCTGCTGAGGCCGTGATGTGGCACCGTGGCTCAGAAAGTGCATGGCCAACTGCTGAATGGGACCAGTGAGGCCTTCAAGTCCAGGTGCAGAGGGCATAATCAGGGGGGCAGAGGGGCTGTCCTCTGGGGCTTTCAGTAGAGAACCAAGGGTAAGCTCTACTCTATCCACCTCCAGCCCCCAAGGACGAGTCATCTCGTTTATGTCCATCTGTAAACATGAAGCATGAATGTAAACATGAACTGATACAGCAAAAGAAATCAGCACAGAGTAGCTAAAGCGTGTCCTCACCCCAAGATATTCCCCTAATTTCACTCTCTCAGTTTGAATCTCCCTGACGGTCTTCTTGGCCAGGCTGTGGGTCAAAGCCTTCTGTGCCGTCATTCTGGTGGAAGCATTGAGATCCTGGACTGACACCACTGACAAGACTGGGTTCCAGATCCTGAACTGGATGTCTGCTCCCACTGACAACACACCACCATCCCGAGTAGTCACCTATAACAGCACAGTGTACTGACAGCTGAACTTACATGAAGCCAAACTGGCAAACGAATTAGTACATAAGCATCTCCTCTTAAATAAATAACATTCACAGCTCCTAAGAGGAATGGCTTTGCAAAAATCTGAAGCTCAATTGAATATAAATTATGCCATCAACTTGAAGTTTGAATTGTTTTTGTCTTTTTTTTAAGTGTATTAAAGGTAAGAATGACAGGCTAAGCCATATGAGAAGGAAGAAATTATCTCCAGCACACACAAAATAAATTTCATGGAACTGAAGTTACTGCTTTTAAAACATTTTTAAATGGTAAATGATGCGTATAAGATGTGTTTTACCAGTATCAGAATTCAAAAGTGTTGTGTTACAGTGTGGCAAGAGCAGAAAAATCAGCTGATCTTATGCAATCAGAAACCAGGAAACAACGGCACACAGATCATGTATTTCATCCTATGCTAACCTCTCCTGTGGCTTAAGGATAAAAAGATATAATGTAACACTTCTTTAGCTATTAATTATCATGTACTGTACATGTATATGGGCAGAGTGGATCTCATCCAAAAGACTATCAAAACCATGTTTAACAAACATGCTGAAACATCTTTTTATTTATCTTTTTAAATGCCACAGGCCAGCTATACCAATAATAGCATGTCTGGCAGTTTACCTGGCAAGGGGGGATGTTGAAAGCACGGGTGCGCAGATCTACTTTCTGCCACTGATCAATGAGAGGCAGCACAAGGACGATACCAGGGCCCTTTGGAGGACATATTCGACCGAGACGAAACACTACTATCCTCTGGTAGTTTGGCACAGTCTGAATTGGAAAAAAAAAAACATTGTTTATTCTCAACAAGTGAGTGGAGATGCTATGGGTGCAATTTTAAGCCAAACTTACTTTCAGTACAAACCATCCCGTTATTGGAAAGGTTAAAAAGGTGCAGATGTAGACCAGGGAGATGACAACTAGGTTGCAGATCCACGACAACCATCCCTGGGAGGTGTCTAAAAGGGAAGAAACCCCAAGAAGGGGTTATTTTCATTACTGATGGTCAAGTTAAGTCACTCGCACCAGAGCTATGCAGTGTACAAAGTGTGCTAGTATGCTAAAGTATATGAAATATAGGAACAAATGACTAAAGTATTGTGATAATGTCATATCGTGGGCTGTCTGATGATTCCCACCTCTAATATATGAGACATTTCATTATATTCTTTGTGTATTTTGATATAACTTATGTTGACGAAAAAGAAGTTAAGTGTCTGTCTTACTTTCTCTTTGAAGTGAATAACAATCGTACCCTAAACCACAAATTATGTCCCCCTAAACCAGCTCGTGTTAACTAGTGTCCTACCTGTGAAGTCGTTTTCAGTAACATTGGGGATGTAGTCAAACGAAAGGCCTTTGTGGTAGTTGTTAGAGTCCACAAACAGACCAGGAGTCCTCGGAGTGCTGAAGTCCCTTTGAGGGAGCAGGCGATACGAGTTTTTAAACATTGGTAATTTGAAATAATTGCTATCGCCTAATTAATGCACCTTCATACTGTTTATCGGGCACCGTGCAAATGCCAGCGCGCCAAAAACTTTGTTTTCATACACTTTTACTTTAGCTCACTATCCTGATGCGCTTCCGTGTTTTTGTTTTGCTACGCCTCTGCTTCTTCCTCTTCTGCCACGGAGGCTGTCAAATAGCCTTTAGGCGCATTAGCGCCGTCCTCTGGATTGTGGGCGATAATCCCGATAAACCCACAAGTGAAAACATATATTCAATAAAAACATTATTAAATAATTAATTAAATAAATTCATTTTGCAATTTTGCAGGTCTTCTGCAATTTGGGTCCCTCACATTCTAAAGGTAGGTGAAGCCCCTCCTCTCATTAGGTTCAAGGTTGAAATGTAGCCTGACACGCTCCTCGACATGTGCAAAAATGGGGGTGGGGGGGTAGATGCATTACACTGCATGTTTATAATCCATCTGTTAAAGTAACATGGACATATTAAAAGTACTCCACTATATGTTCGAGTCACAGTTTTTTGTCTTGACCCCAAAGCCTATTTTTATGCACTATACATTTTCCTTATGAATTAAATGTTATCTCTTTTATTTTGAAGGTACTATGCACAATATTAACATAATGATAATAATAAGAAAAATGAACAAATATACTGCACTGCCTCACCCCTATATTACTCATTTGTACAAATCAACTTTTAAATTATGTACTGAAGTAGTGTTCTAAACAAATGTATGATATGATATGCATACATATATATGATATGATATGTATGCATGAGAATGTGATGCTCTGTTTGCTCTCGTACAAAACGTGGCCTACCACAGAGCTGTTGCACCTGTGGATATAATTATCTTTTACCCAGTATAAATATGGTTTTCTCTTTCTGTGTCATACTTTTAATATTTTTCAGACCATCTAGAACAACCTGATACATTTAATACAATTCAACAAAGAAAATGATGGTCACAAAACAGTTGGAAGATAAACCTATCAGAGCTCTTTGGTTTCTGTTTCAAACATGTGTTATACATGTTCTTCTCAAAAGATGAATACTTTTTATGCTGAATTCTATATTTTATAGTGTTTATTGCATTATTTATTTACTCTATTTGAATCAAATAGAAAAAAAAAAATCCCAGAAATCATTATACTTGACAATACAACTTCATATTTATAGACATTTAAAACATTTAAAAACATGTTTGCTGGCATGTACTGTTATTTCGCTTGTTACTCAGTACGCTGAATGATTAAGTCTAGCTGTAAGCTTCACAAGACGACTTTGTGGTTGTAACTTAACAGAAAAATGTGCTTTAATAGAATGCCATAACCAGAAGTTGCCTTTGTCTTGAGGAAAAAAAGCACAGTTTCACATAAATGTCTCTGATCCATTCATGACTGTGTTTTTCAAACAGTAATATGTCAAAATATCTTTTGTCATAAAGGCTTTTTTGCATTAAACATGAAAGAAGTCATCAGCAGAATGCATGAATTACACAGTCACACAGCTTGCAGGAAGTTTTCCTCCGTGTGCTTAGTTTTTGAACATGTCACACAGCAGCTTCTCCATGGGTGTGCTGCCAATGGTCCTCTGAAAGAACAGCTTAGCGATCTTCTCTGAATTCACAAAGCGGAGGGAAGGCAGCAGAAGAATTAATCTCCCAAACCTTGTTGGACAAAAACAAAAAGAGTGCGAGCTAAATGTTTCTGTGGGGGGGAGAGATTTGACATTCTCCAGCTGTTATTATGTTTGAAGATTTTGTGGTATTTTGTTAGAAAAGAAAGTGCAGTTACCTGGCACCCTGGTTGGGATACACTGAATGGATGTGCTGACCCAGCAGCACCTGTGACTGGGCCTGCAGATTCTCCACCTGTTCTGGATCTTTAAGGTTGCGTACCTCTGCGTGGGAGATTCAAACAGCAGACATCGGTTTGGTGATCCAGAAATCAGTGACTACCATCGCTGCATCAGTGATTCCTTACCTGGCTTAAACAGCACAATGGCCTTCAGACAGGCAAATTCTGTCGGGTCAACAGTCAGGGCTTTAAAGCGACTAAAGACTTCTTCTAAGATCTGCAGGTCAGCAGTAAGAAGGTTGATATTGGCTTGCTGTGGGGTAGAAAGGTCTGGCAGAGACAAAAGAGGACAGCTGTCCATGGGCAGAGACCACTGGATGGCACACAGGAGGAACATCTCACTCCAAGCTTCTTCAAGAAGAATCACCTGAGGATTTCACAGAAATGTTGAGCATCTCATTAGTCTCACACACTATCCATATATGTTAAAAAAAAAACATTTTAAGATGCAAATACACAAAGAAAAAATATCTGTCTACAGGCCTCACCTGGTCACGAAATGGCAAGTGAGCAAACACAGGCAGATTTTTTGCCCACTTGACTGACATGAAGAGGAGTCGTGCCGATGTCTCATACACATTCTCTGGACAGCTGGAGGTATAAGGGGACAAACGGCTGTCGAAGGGAGTGAGGTCCCTCTCTGAATTTGTTGTCACATCAATATTTTCCTCCACTGTGTAGCAGAAAAAGAGACATAGGCATTACAATCCAAATATCCCACACCGTAAAGTCAAATCAAAAAGTCTGTTTTCAAAATATTTTTACTCATTTCAAGACAAATAGGTTTACACCTCTTTCTTCCAAGTTATTTTACCTCTTTCATTTGATCTTACCGTCCTCTGGCTCCAGTTTTGCACAGGTCTCTGCAGTCAGCAGGCTGACCATAAAGCGGTGGTTGTTACTTATGTTGCTGCAAAGTTTTACTGTGGCAGAAATTGGAGCTGACGACGTGACCAAAGGCCTGGAGATGACTGCTGAGTAGGTGTCAGAGGGGCTGAGCGCTTGCGTGGTGACCAGGTGCTCCTTTTTGGTTTCGACATTTATAGAGTCCGGACTGACGTGAGCTGTGCTTCGAGGCTGTCGCTCATTCTGCACAGCTGCCACAACAAAGCACAGGAAAAGCTACACCATCTCACAGTGAGGCTTTAGGTATTTCATATCAATACGCACAGATAATATCTACAAGGTCTGCTTTTTCTGAGTTTCTCACCATCTTTGTTCATGCCAGCCTGGAGGCACTTCTTTAATCGACAAGCTTGGCACTGGTTTCGATGCGCTTTGTCAACAGGGCACCTGCCATTTCCAGCCTGACACCTATGAAATAAAGACACAGATGGAGTTCAAATGCACTTCCTTAATTGTCATATGATTGTTTTCCTGTTATGTACAGCTGCCTTTCACAGAGCCACTTGCCCACCTATAGACGAGTCTTCTCCTCACACTGCGCTTGAAGAAGCCGCTGCAGCCGTTACAGGCAAAGATGCCATAGTGTTTGCCACTGCTTGAGTCAGAGCAAACTTTACAAAGCAGGCCTTGGCCAAACGATTTACGCAGACCTTTTTCTGTAGAGAATAGATAGTAGAAATACTTAAAATAATTTCAGATTCTTTTGAGCACCAACGCTATTTTAACTACAGACTGATGTAAAATTAGCTCACTCTTTTACGCATTTTGAGCTTTGTGTCAGATTCTGTGTGTAAATCTATGTATTTAAAACTTTGTGAGCATTAATTATGAGTCTAGTCTGCTGTACTGAGAAGCCTTTAACAATCATCATCTAAGCTTTCTAAAATCTTGCACATTTGTAGTAATTTGTAAGTATTGGCTCACCTGATTGAGCTCCGTCTGTGCTCTGTTGCGTGAAGTCCTTCAAGGTGTCCGATGAAAACATGTTCATCTTTGAAATCTGCTCCTCCATCCTTACTGAAAGACATATAAACATAAGATGACTTCCTGTTTTGCATGAACTGTTTTCTGTGATAAAGTACTGGCCACAATTTTCCCAAAAACATGCTCATCAAAAGTTTTTTCTTTACACTACCTCACAGAAAGCTTCAGGGAAGCTCCTTAAAGAATAAGCCTTGTTGAGTGATCTGGATACAGTGCTGATGTTCTTGTACTGCTTAAATCTGATGAAGGTGGGGTCAAGGGAGATACAACTCGCCGTCTTCTTTCTTTCTCTCTCTCCAGAATGAGTGTGAGAGCTTGAGTCGTCTGGAGGAAAACAGGGAGATTAGCACTGGGCGCTGTGTAAGCAAATGCTGATTTGTCATCCTCTTAATCTTTACCGTCTATAAGGGTAAATCAATCAGTCACACCACTTACAGGCACTAAGTATATTCATTCCTCTTTCCTCTCTCGCTCCTTCTTTCTGTCTCTCTCTGGTTATTTTGTTAGTTGTGGTTCCTAGAATATTTAAAAGTAGGATGGGAGGCAGAGTCTTTAGCTTTCAGGTCCCTCTTCTATGGAACCAGCTCCCAGTTTGAATTTGGGAGACAGTCACCCAAGATTAGGCTTAAAACATTCCTTTTTGACAAAGCAGGGCTGGAACAGGTGATCCTGAATCCACTCTTAGTTATGCTGCAATAGGCCTAGGCTGCTGGGGGTGTCCCATGATGCACTGAGTGTTTCTACAGCACTCGACATCTAATCATTAGTTATTGTTTATTTCCAATTTAAAGTGCATTGGGGGGACTGCTCTTGTGATTTGGCACTATATAAAAAACAGAATTTTCTCTTAGATTGTTTTCTTCCCATCCTGTTTTGTTCTGTTCTGCTGTGAACGATGTTCCCACATTACTATAATTAGTCTGGCTGTATCGTGCCAAATGATATTACAAGACAGCAACTTTTTCTCCCTAAAAACATCAGTGTTGGTTTATTTGCTCATGTGTTCAGAGATGCAGTTTAGCCTTATGGCACTACAGTTCTGCGCTGCAAGGATTGTATGAATGTCACTGTAAGGATGATTTGCAGAAGAAATTTCATGCTAGCAACAGCCAACAGGCAAACTATTATATTAGTGCTCATTAGCAGCAGACTGTCTTGTTTTGCTTTGTTTTATACCAGAATTAAGATGTTCCTTCTGTGCCATATTGGCTCTGTCAATGACATTACAACCTCAAGAGAAGATAGCCACCCCAAATTAGCAAAAGAGCTTAACCTTCAATGAAATGTGATCTCCTTCTGGGTGAGGGGTCACGAAAGAGCATAATGAGAAGAAAAAGAATTAGCACAAAGATTGAAAGAGCAGCAAAGGGTTGAACCTTAATTCCAATTTACTGCCATATGGTGGCTTTTCTCTGAAGCCCCCGTCTGCCTAATTGAGTGATGCAACTTATTTTTAAGAAAATTTGAACTAGATTAACTCAAATGAATCCTTTCTTGCCTTGAATGGCTTTATGGAAATTCTCATCTCTCAAAAATCTAAAGAAATCTGCACACTATTTTCTGTATTGAATATTGCATATAGCTGACCACATATAACACCATAACAAAGACACTAATACTAATGATTCCTACAGTCTCCATAGACTGAATTATATAATGTCAGTCACTCTTGAATTTAAGAGACCAACATAGCATTGAAAACAGAGCTCTTTTTGTTGCCCTAAACTGGTGTATAAATGGATTAAGCATGGGTCGTCTTCAAATTATGGTTGTGCACATGGGGCCACGTAAACCCAGAACCTATAACACTCACAGGTTTGACACGCTGTGGTAGCTTGTGAAATTATATGAAAAGACTAAATGATAATTACAAAACCTTTTGTCAGTTATGTTACCATCAGCTTACGAGAGAATGAACAACTAAATAAACCTTTTTTCTACAAAAGGCAAAAAAAAAAATTCTTAAAAATTTTTTTCAAACTGATTCTAACCAGAATAAAATAAAATCAGGAGAAGAGCCCACGCTGCCCATCAGGGTTTGAAGGGAGGGAGACAGGACATTAGAAGGGAAAGACTGGTAAGGAAGTTGTACCGGCAAACAAAATTAAGTTGGAGGTGACTGCCTGGGTCAGAAAGAGCTGTCAGATGTCCTTGATGAAAAATGGCATCAAGCTCATATGATAGGAGGGGTGATTCGTTTGGATTCTTTGGTGGTGATGAAGTGGGAACTTTTTGAGTGTCAGTGACCTTCAACTCTGACTCTGTTTGGACAATGACTGAAAGACACAAGAAATATTTAGAAAGAGCTTAGTATAAGTGCATAAGTAAAATATAGTTTAAAAATAGTTTTCATGACAAACCAGAGACTTCCTGAGTGGTATGTGAATCGCTTGTTTTATACTATATTGGTAGTTATATATCAGATGTTTTCCTACTACAGGCCTCATCCATACAAGTGGGGTTTTTTTTTATTACTTAAGCACTTTTAACCTGGCATTCACACACTCTGGTGGATGCATCAGGGAGACCGGATGGATGGCTGAATGGATATTTTTATTCATTTGTCATCACTATTACTCTCTTTGATATTTTTATTTTGTTCTCCTTTATTGCTGCTATTTTCTTTGTTTCCCACTTTTATTTAAATCCACCCAACTTTCTGTGCTGGTGAAGGCAAATGTAGCATTTGATGTAATAAATAAGGCTTTGAAAGTCCATACATTCTGGACACCTTAATTTAGCACATTAGCATTTACACTTCACACTTGGTGACAGTATAAAGTTACAGTGAAAACGACCTCTGAGGAGATTCATAAGTCAGAAATACATATTTAAGTATGGCAACCTGGACTCCCACATCAGATTTTGTAGCACGTGTGTTCCTCACATGTCAGGGTGAGATGATTATTTTGTTCTTAACACTAGGAACTACACATGTTAAGTCCTTTTTAGCTCAGTTTTTTGAGGGGTTGACTCTCTTCTGCACAGTTAAGATGCTGCAGCCATCAGCAAGCTCCTGCTTTGAGTCTTTTATCTGCCAGGAATAACTGTCACGTTTCTTCCCTGCCCAGCCCTGTGATTGTTGTGCAGACACGGCACAATCTTTAGCAGCATGCTGCCATGAGCTGTTTAGATGATTATGTATTTAGTGGAAACATTTATGAGGACAGCGCCGGTCATGTGATTGGACACGCGTCACCAGTAAAACCTTGGCTCTGTTGTTTGCAGATCAAACAGATCAGTTGCTCATTACTTTAACCCTCAAATGCATGGGTCATTTCAAATGCCTTGCATTCATTTAAGGGTCAGGAATGGCATTATCTTATATCGCATATCTACATTTTGTGCATATTAAAGACTTATTATTGTAGTGAGGTGCATTGCATAAAAACTATGTGCCCTGCAAAAAACAAGGAAGGCATAATTTTATTGTCCTTCGCAGGATGCCCTTGAATGCTAGTTCACAAGTCTTTGCATCAATCTAAGCAGCTTTTTGATATAATCTCCTTGAATGTCAGCAGTTGTCAAAGAGTGAGATTAACTTTTAAAGTTATAGTGGTTCTCTACAGGATCCTCAAATTTGCCAAATCATAAAATAAATGACCATTCTTTATTTGGATTAGGATTTTTATTCATTTAAACTTGAACTTTTTCGAGATTAAAGTAATTAAAGTTCAAAATAGTAATAAGTTACAGTTTTGTACCAACTTATATCTAAACTTAACCACCTCAAATATATAGAAAATAAAGCACACTAACCCTAACCCTGACAGGCTAATGATATTGTTCCCCATATATTAACATATGCACAAGCTTTGATTACACAGAACTCAGCATGTCTGTGTGATTCTAAATGGCCCCAGTGATAGGTTAACCGAGCTTGCTTGCTTAAGCTTTGTTGTGTTTGGTTCAGCATTTCCTGGGGACCCCCCTCCCCCAACTCCACCCCAATCAGATGAATTACAAGGAGTGAGGTGTCAGCACTAAGGATAGGGATTGGCCCTCCTTGCCATCTGCTACCATTGCTTTAATCCACGCAATGACAAAATCAGCTATCTTGGCCCACATCAGAGTAAAGTCAACTCTATTCAACAGATGCTCGCTGACAGCTACTGTGAAATCTGTGTTTCTGCTGACAAATTAATCTTATTTGGTTGGATCAGTTGACTATTTCCCAGAAATGTCAAAATAAGCCAGGGATAAGTGATTTACTTAACAAAGCCCACAGTGCTCAAGTAAAAGTCCAGCACACAAAAATAATAGGTTAAACTGCAATGACAGTAAAGACTTATAAAAAGGAAGCAGCCGATAGAAGTCATGTATATACACTGACACTCACAACAGCATCCTAAAATGATTTAAAACAGGGCCATTCACATAGTTCAATGCCTTTTATTTTTTAACATAGTCATTCCCTAGGTGGTCTGTAGAGGGAGACACACACCACTAGACTGTGTTACAAAAGTGAACCAACTAAGTAAGACCAAATGATGAATCAGAGTTGCTGTATGACCCACTGGAACATTTATGGGCTTACACATTACAGTTCACTTACAATAATAAGGGTCATGACCACTGTTACTTCAGAAGCAGTCTGGATTTCTGTGTAAAAACACAAACAGCCAGGGAGAATTGAAAGTGTCTCTTTGTGCAAGAGCAGTGCTGCACCAATGTTCTGAGCCTTATATAGACTCTCTTATGGCATCTTAGGGCATTGCAGCATTTTTGCACTGCTTTTGTAGCAACACAGTGGCACAGTTGTTAGGATTGTTGCTTCGCAGCAAGGTCCTGGGTTTAAATCTGACCAAAGCGTTTCTTTGTTGAGTTTGCATGGTCTCTCTATTTCTGGGTTCTTTCCAGCTACTCTGGCTTCCTCCCACAGTCCAAAAATGTAAAGTTAAGGTTAATTTGTGATTCTAAATTGCTCATAATAGTGTGAATTTGCGTGTGAAAGGCTGTCTGTCTGTCTCTGTTAGCTGTGCGACAGACTTGTGACCTGTCCAGGGTGTACTATCTCTTGCCCTGTGGTAGCCTGAATTGGAGAAGTGGAATGATGGGTAATTTTATTTTTTATATGGCATCAAAGTAAAGCTGAAAGTTGTAAACTGGTCTCAGGTGGACTGTTTTGCTCAGATTGGTCTGTTATATAGTGTTGGACTTGGGTAAGGGACAGCCTTTATGCTTTTGAAAGGATGCTTATCTGTTTTATAAGCTTTATAATTAGGCCAGACACAGTCATGTGTCTTTTGTCTAGTTATGCTGCTACAG